GTGTGTGTGTGTGTGTGTGTGTGTGTGTGTGTGTGTGTGTGTACGGGTTTGTCGAAATCAGCATAGAGATGGGCCGTATCAACAACCATTTGCTCCACATGCCAGCCATATGATGGGGAGACGGCGACATGGGTGCGTAGTGTTGTATGGATGTACGTGGGGGCGTGTGTTGTTTATAGTTGCTCCCTTTGGTTTATGTGAAACCGCAAGCGCACTCTGCGGGATTTATACTTATCAACGAGACAGTCGATCATCTTGATTTTAACATACATTTTCTGGATACAATGAAGGCTTCGCCAGGAATGTCAGCAGGGTGAAGCAAATTGTATGTGCCAGCCCTACGGAAGCTGTCAAGCTCGCGTGCATCCGCCAAAGTTCGGCATCCTCGCCTTTTAGAGCGTCACGAATAGTACAGGGTGTAAACAGATGTGATCGATCGGAGTGACATACGGTATATAGTTTCTGCACAGTAGCCTCATAATGAGCTTGTTGCCGTGCCATGTCGTGTGGGCAGGGGTTGTCGAGGTCCGTGTTGATACGAATACTGAAATCCGGTGTGTCGTCAGGCGGGTCTTTAGGTAGTCGTGATTGTCGTTTGAGGAGAGACAAAAGTTGGTTGGAAACTACAAGCGGGTTGCTTGTAAATTGACGCGACGAACCTGTTTGTCGCCCTTGTCTGGCGTGCAGCGCATTTTTTTGTTGGACACAGAGGGAAGATACTTCTGTTCCAGTTGCTCTTTTCTGTTGGATATATGCAAGTAGATGAGAGTCATAGAGGCAGCGTTTGAGTGATGTCGGATGTTATCGATATCGGTTGACCAGGTCATGCTTGGTTGGTGGGCATGTGCCGGGGAAGAGAGTCGAGATGGACGGTTTGTAAGGGAGAGCATCGTCGATTGTTGTTGTGGATGTCGTCATTGTGGACGTGGTGTGTCACTCACTTGTAAAATAAGTACAAGGTTTCCCTGTAATTGTGGGAGTCTGCTCCCCCGAATGGTGGTAATCGGCATCCCTAGAAGCGCGGCATGTGGCTCTCCTGGCATCACAGTTGAAGTCACCCCTGATATGGTGGTGGAGTACGTTCCCGAGATAGTTGTGGAAGGCTGCTTTGGAGTCGTGTGTGTTGTCGACGATGAAGAATGAGTGGCGGGAGAGTTGCTGCGAGTAAGATGTTGTGTGTATTCATTTGGGCGGCACGACGTCTGATCATGCACATATTATTTGAGATAGTGAGTTCGTTCAATGTACCACTACTATTACGAGTGGCCATAGGAAGGCCGTTTAGCGTGCGTGAAATGGGATACTTATGGATATGTTGCTGTAAAGTTTTGCTGATTGTGGTTTCTAAAGCTGGAGTAACGGTTGTTGATTCTGTATTGGGTAAAGTGGGTGGTGTAGGCTGAAGGGCTGGTTGAGGAGTCTGCGTGGGTGGAGTACAGTCGGTAGTTGGTGCTGGCAGCAACCCGGGAGTGTGTATACTGAATGGTGACTGCGGAAGTGTAGAGCAACTAGTCGAAGCTGAAACGGGAAGGAGAGGTAGGGTATCATTACTGCCGGATTGAGAGGTTACTTTGGGGGGGGGGTAGTAGTAGGTACAGTAGATACCGCGGGGGTGATTCGCTCGTGTGTGGTGTGTATGTTCGTCTTCGAATGACGGAGAGCAATGGTAAGTTCACGAATGGTGGGAACATCGCAGCAGATGTGGCAAATTTGGCGACAGGACTAGTACCGATGAATGTCCACGATGAGAAGACATTGTATTTGAAGACGAAATCGCGAGAGTGGTAAGTCCTTACCGTTTGGATATTGAGGATACGGCATTCGACATAATATTTGGATTATCGGTTATGCCCAAAGTAGACACCTACTAGAGCTCGGTCATCTAAAAAATTTGGTTGGTCCTGATTAAGGAAAGCGACCTGATACCCATACACATAAATGTTCATAAGGGTGCAGTGGGTGCCTTTGTTGCTCGGGTTCCTACTGTTGTATTGAATAGTCTTGGTGAGTGTGGCTTGCTGTATGGCCTCGGCCCAAAGGAAGTATGGTTGTTTGGAGTGTTTTAATATACACACTATAATTTCCTTGATACCGGTATTTATACGCTCGACGAGGCCGTGTAGTGCTGGTGAAGTCGTAGGTATATAAGTGATTTTGATGTTATTGAAGAGTGTAGATGTCAGCTCACCGCCGCGGTCGGACCCAACTTTAATGAGCTTTGCGAGGGGGGGTTTTTTTCCGATGTCAGTGTGGAAGCGGTCGAGTGTAGCACTAGGGATAATATCATTTATTTTAATG